ATATAGTATAAGAAACTTGTTTCAGGTCTAGAATCACTTACGTGTTAAACTGACGAATATGTCTCTATATGTCTATATATGTATTTATATATGTATTTGGGAACGTGAACAAGTATAATGCCATCAGTTACGCCCGATCGCCAAGCTTTTATTTATTTATTGTTACTGCAATCACCTTTCAGTTCGTGGAGTGCCACATCAACAATTACTTAGGCGCTTAACTCTCCTGGTTTTAGACAAGCTTTTTTAATGTTTTTAATGGGTTTTTATTATACACTCGCTGCGGGCATTTTCTATTGGGCATCAAGTTCAGACTTGCGAAATTCGAATTGGGATAATTTTAGATAATTTGAAATGCATACTATTGTTATTTTGAGCAGTTCATTTAGAATTCCTAGATTTAAATATTTATGTAAATTCATATAAAGCTTCAAAATAAATAATAAAAAAAAAAAATATATATATATATATATATATATATATACAATAATGAATTATTATTGATGTAACAAAATGGCCATATAATACGCCAAATATATAAACAAAATGTAATTAATTTAATTAATTGATTTAATCATCAATTAGGCTACTCAATATAAAAATTTTTTACATTTCACTTCTGCAAAAATAATTTTGTTCGACAACTTTTTGTTTTTCACTTTGCATAAAATTAATAAAAAAAAATTAATACAAAAATAATAATAATAAAAATAAAAAAAAAAATAATTTAAAATAATAATAAAAAAATAATAATAAAAAAAAATAATACAAAAATATTAATAAAAAATAATATAAATAAACATAAAAAAACAGATTCAGCTTCATTTGCTTTTTTTTTTAATTAATAAGAATTATGATTTCTTAATTTCTAAATTAGGTCACATTTCTATTGATGCGTGGGAGTATGCCTATAAAACTTTTATTTAATTAAGTCAAAAATAAAAATGTTTTCCCCCAATTACTTTTGAATTTGGCTGCTCTTTAGTTTCTATTAACTTGTTTCTTTATGTTAATTTAATTAATTCACTCTGTTTTCGTTTAGGTTAAACAATAAAAGTTTAGTGTATTAGAGTTTTATTTTAAGAATTTTAAATCAGTTTTGCTCCATATATTTCCCACTCAACTTTCAGCTCTCTAAAACAACTTTCACCCTCTTTTCATCTCTGTTTTCTGTAAAGTTCTGATCTTACATTATAAATATATCTAAAATACCATTTTCCATTTCCTATTTGCTCTCCATTGTGCCTTAAAGGGCGATGAGAATATGTATTATGCTTGTAAAACTGTTGTATATGACTCAAAACTGAGCATGATTATTATGCAGCGCATGCCATTTAGATTGAATTGAATTACTTTAAGCTTGACTTGAAGCCAGGAAGTTTCAGGCAGACGCTTCGGGGCGTGACTGTGATGACGTTGACGTTGACGTCGTGCACAACTTTTGACTGCGAGCGGGCAGAAGCAGCTGATCGAGCATTTGCATTTAGAAAGTGAGCTCAGCTCAGCTCAGCTCTGCTCTGCTTTCCTCTGCTCTGCTTTTCTCAGGTCGGCTCGGTTCGGTTTGGTTCGGTTCGAATCACAGAGAAAAAGCGAATAAAATTTTCAATACTCACTCTGGCACTCTGGCTTCGGCTTCGGGCGACTGCTGCGATCACAGTTTGAGATGCAACTGAAAACCCAAAGCTAAAAGCGAAATCAATGAGAGTTTCACGATGTCTATGGGCTCTGTGCAATCAGCTACCATCGAAAATGGGTAAAGAGGGTATATCAGTTGCAGGCAAATGTACGTAACAGGCAGAAGAAGACAATGCCGATTTGTTTTTAAATAAACTAAATTTTAAATTGCATATCTTTTATATATGGCACATTTAGTAAGACTATCAATTTTTAAGTTTATACAGTACAAATTTATTAATAATAAATATATGTATATATTGATATATAGCAGCTATACTTTGCTTGATGTCTGCAACCCTGCAAGAGTAGAGGGTATAGTCTAGTCGTGTACTCCCTGCAAGCGCTCTCCTATTTGTTTTGCTGTTGTTGTAGTTGCTGAAAAGCGACTGAGCCGGTTTAAGCGAAGTTGTTTTTGTCGCCGTTTTACACACTTTACACAATATTTTCCTTGTTGTCGCTATACCCTGTAAGCATTTTATGTGTGAAAGGTGTATGCATACATAGAGAATATATCAAACATTTGCTAATTGAAATCTTCTGATATATTTGGAATCACTTAATACTCTATCACAACTCAATAATCCCTCTCTAAGCTTTTCATATATTTTATATGGATAAAAGATTGACATTCAAATGTAATTTTGTTGCACAGGGTATCTCTTAGCCGATCATCATGTTTTCTGCGCATGCTACGCAGGTCACAGAATTGAATATATCCGGTCTTTTGTCACATATTAAGCACTTCACTCACAATTGCAAAAGCAACAGTCTATTGTGTGAGTGTGCGTGCGGTCATTGCACAGACAAGAAAAAAAACTAATTTAAGTATAAACGACTTAATATCTAAATATAACTGATTTAGAATTTAAGCATTTTGTAAAACTTAACAGGAAATTAATACCTAATTGAATTTCAGCTGTTGTACGTTTTCTTTGTATTTATTTGTATAGACTATTTAAATCAATTTCATATAATTATATTTAAATATAATTAATAAATCTTGGCAAACTTATTTTATAGGAACTTGTTGAATAATACCGCCAGTCGCTCCAATTGGAAAATATCACTGTGCCGTTGCTTCCAACAAAGCAGTGCAACGGTTTTCAAGCAGTGCACTAGCGCTTACGTTGCTCCATTTTGCGTTAACGTCATTATCCGTTTTAATACCACCACATATTTTGACTCAAACTTGTTATAATTCGATAAAATATATCAAAACTTTAGCTTTTAACTACGTTTAGTATTTAGTAAATACAATTCTGATATTTCAAATGCTTGGTGTAGTAAATTAGGTTTTTAGCAAACTTATTTTGATTGATTTTAGTATATTTTTAAGATTGAAAAATACTGCTTTTTAACAGTGCCCATTTTGAGTACAACAGCGACTTGTGCTAACATTAACATTGTGCAACACTGTAACATTTCTACAGTAAGAAGAAGACGCCATAAGCAACAACATCGGAACGCGCACAATACACACGAAAAACAAGTGGAATAAAATAACCAATATTTTTGTGTCATGCGTTTTCACGCTTGAATGTGCAATATATGCAATTTACTCATCAGTGCTTAAATCGTGACAAAAACATTTGCATTTGAAACAAAGCAAAGCACTCAAATTGACACCAACACAGACACACGGGCACATATGAAGCGCATTGCCAGAGGCTTTGCTGCTGGTTATTGCTGCTGCTCTTGCTGCTGCTGCTAGTGCTGCTGCTGCTCTGGACAGGAGATAAACAATGAAAGGTGCAAGTGAATCAAATTGTGCACAATTATTGTTTCAATTACTATTATGTGCAGTGCTTGTTTTCGACTGTCGCGCGCAAGATGAAACGCTGCACACGACAACGAAAACAAAAACAAAATAACAAGGTCAGCAACAACAAGCACAACAGCAACGAGAGCAATAGTAACACGCAAATATATACATACATAGTATGTGCATGGACAAGAAGCGAAAAGAAGAAAACAAGAAATATCGTAACAAAATACACTGTGAACAATCGTGCGGCAAAACTAATACAATCAAAGTTACGTCGCTGTTGCCATTCCGTTAAATGCCCAAACAGGCGAGTCGAGTCGAACCGTACTGTACATCCCCCTCGCACCCACATATTTAACATAACTGTGCTGCCGCCGCGCATAGCCAAGGAATAACAACAGCAACAACAGCAACAGGAAATAAAAGAGCTGCTACCAAAGCAACCACCGAAATGTCGTCGCTCAAGGTTGCCGTAAGGGTTCGCCCCTTCAACTCGCGGTAAGTGTATGCGGCCAGTGCGATTTGCACTCGAATTGGAATTCGCTTACTAGTTCCAACTAGAACTGATAAAGCGACCATTTGTGAACGCCCCTCGATTGGCCTGTTGCGCATCCCGTTAAATACATATTTAAAAACAGCGAAGAAAAAAGCATTTGCGTTGCTGACGTTGCCAGACTGTAAATTTCTAGAAATTTTGTTTCTATTATTTTTTGCTACTGTTTGTGTTTTTGACCAACAAGTTAAGCCAGCGCTCTCAAAGTACAATGCCCCAAACTTGGCCAGCGGCTACTTAAAACCACATTAAACATATCTACTATGTGTGTGTGTGTGTGTGT